TATCGCGTACGTGCTGGCATGCCATAAATATGTGGCCCATGTAGATGCGAGGCAACAAAATTATATTTCTGTTTGTGCTTGCAACAATTTATTTTTCTCACCGCCCCCCTCGGTCGGCCCCTTCATTGCCACGCCCACCGTGGAGATAAAGCGAAAACATTTTTCCAGCTCAACTCGCTGCGCAATCGATAACGATGGGGGAGACAAAGGAACCATAGACGCCGAGACGAGAAAGGAGGGGACTTCCCCGGCTTATTAGATGTAGTGTGCCCAGTACCCCGAAGGTAAGCTGCTAAATATGTAGTGCAAGCAAATTTGGCCAGAGACCGCAGCTTGTGGCGAAGTCCGAAAAGGAGCCAGCCCATATCCTTCCATATTTGAGTTGCGTCCAGGCAAAGGTACAATGCTTTTATATATTCATGTGGGCACCGAATTAAAGATTTCCACAAAAATCTGTCTCTTCACTCAGATATGCACTGAAGAATGTGCAGGGTTTTAAAAACCCACAGCCGGTTATCTGTAACTGAGAGCCTTGTAGACTGTTGGACACAACGAAACCCTTGGGACACAGAATCTCTTTTCTAAAACTATGTTAGAAAATAGTTCTAGGTATTTATCTCCTTCCATCTAACGTTAAAAATCATGTAACCCCAAATAAAAAATATATTTTTGTTTTTAAAAATTGTCAGTGTCTAGGTACCATTTTAATAACATTTTTGGAACCTGTATTTTTAAAGATTTTTAGGATACGAAAGAATAAAATTGAAATGCTATTGCACACTGCCCTGTACCCCACAATATCGTATTTTAATTTTAAAAAACTTTTCAATGGAAGATTAGATTACTATTGAAATATTTCTTAAGAACCCTTACATCTTACTTCCACTGTTAAATTGCGTCCTGCTCTCAAGAAAACCTGCACGAAGAAAAACAAAGAAACTTCGGAGGAAAAGGAAAATGGCAGCAGAAAAATCGGAGCACAAGCAACAAGCCAACAAATTTAAAATGTGAAAACTTTGCAAGTAGTTGAAAGTTGGCAGCAGGCGAACGAACCGCAGTCGCCAGAGAAAAGCGACGGGGAGTTGGAAAATAGAGGGAAATTCTTTGTCTACCCCGCAGTGGTGGAAGGTAAAAAGGGTGCTGGGGGTGCCGAGGGGTGCAGGTGCAAACAGGGCTGAGATACGGGCACACGACTAAGGATACGAACTGGAGTACGGATACGGGACTCGATGATTTGATGTAGTTGAAAATTTGCCGCTGAGATTTTCTTTGTGGTTTCGACTTCTTTTGATATGAGAGCATTTTCCAACGTGGTGCACACTCAAGAGGAGTTTTCCCAATCCCAACGCCTGTCATTTGCCAATTCAACTAAAACTTCAAAGAACCGGCGGTGCATCCTCCTGCCCGGAAGGGTAATCCCCAAAGTCCGTCGCCATTTTGGACTGGTTAGCTATCGCTACTCACGCCCACAAAGGAGTCGCAACCACAAAAACTACAAACGCAGGAAGTGGGTGTTATGAAATATGACGAGATATGAACTCATATTCCACCCTCGGAGAGACCTTCTGATTTTGCGCAGTCGCATTGTGGGAAAAGAAAAAAATATCATCCGAGTTGGTCAGCCATTGACCATAATAAAATGGCACCAATGTGACATCTTAGAAGTTATAATAAAATATAAATATTTATTATATAATACATCTATACATTTTTATTTGTAGTAGTAATAAAAATTGATTGGAATTGGAATATGAACCTGTGCTGTTACTAGCCCTTGTCCAAGCTGCCAATCAAGCTGGCGCTGATCAAATATTATCACAACATGGCCGCAAAACAATGTGGAGGCCATCAATCAAAAGGGCACTCGGCGGCCAAACCAATCATCCGTTTATCCATCCATCCAGATCCTGGCCATCCAATCTGCAATCACCCAATCGCTCAGGCGTATCGCAAGAACAACAACAATTTTCCAATTAAGCGACCAAAAATTTGAGCATATGATGATTATTGACGATAAGAGTGGGACTCGAAGCTCCCAACCGCCCCAGGAATCCCAAATGGTCTGCCGAAATGTGCAAATAAATCGCACAATTGTCCGTCTGTCCGCTCGTCCTTTTCGGCAGGACTCCCTGCTATCTGCGAGCATCGAAACTAAAAGTTAGCCACGCCAAACCAAAACAAAGAAACTTTCATTTCCAATTTTCTTGATGTATTAAATTATTTACGCCCTCTTGAGCAGAGGATTCGTGTGCGTGGCACTCATATATGGACTGCCCATACATACATGTTAGTCTAGAGATATACAGATATGTGCAAAAATGTTCTCTAGATATGTTTGTTAGTAACATTAGTCTATCCGTTAGTTTTTTGGATATATTTTATCTAAGCGTTCTCAAAAATTGGATCAACCATGGTCGTTTTTTAAATTGTAAATCAATAGTTACTGAACAAAATATTATATTTGTACCGGCAAATATGTGTGTCAATTACAAATGCAATGGGATGTTATAGAATTTATATTGATATATCAATATATATTAATTTAATCAAGTTTCGAAGGGCTACATTGCTGTATTTCACAAATTTGAATATAAAAAATTTAGTACCTTCTGCAAGAGACTTACAAAGTATATAAAATCCAATTACAAGTTCTTGTTTTAAACTATTTGTAAGAAATATTGTTTTTATTTCTTCTTTTAAAAGAAGTATAAAAATGTTTTAATCTTGTAGTAACTGTGTAACAAAATAAATCACTGATTTACTAACCTTACAGTTAAACTTGCTATATTTATACAAATTAATTCGTCTATCTCCTTGCGTGCAAAACTACGGCGCCATTCATACTAATAGGAGAAATTAGCTTTATCTGGGTGAAAAAGATAAGCAGGTGAGAGTGTCGCAGTCACTTTTTACAAGCAGTCACTTTTTACCAACTGTCCCCAGTTGGCCGGATCCGCTCTGATCTTCAAAAGCGAATCGCAAGGCTGGCAGGTACTCACTGGCGGAATGGGAGCTGTTGATTTTCACAGTTTGTGCGCAGAAAAGAAAATTTCCTAACTGTAGCCAACTCAATTTCACCCAGTGGGCCAGTGAGCCAAATGTGCAGCGATCACCTCACGGCATCGACGGGGAATCCCCTGCTGCGTCCAGAAGCAGTGGCAATTTATGATAACCAATTTGCGGGCTACATCCATTCCCACACGAGCGGTATGTTATGCCAGCACCGATTCCAACCGAGATCTCAGTCCGCGTCGAATCCAAAGACGATATCCATGGGGCAGTAGCCGAATCACTCTGCTACACGCATCGTTAAATGTTATTAGTTATTACCAAGACATGGTGAGCGGATCGGTTGTTGCCTCCGGGGAGCGGCTGGATACAAGCACCCGCCCGCTGATATTAGCTGTTTTTTGGATCTTATTAGCCATATTCGTTCTTGTAGTTTCTACTCTCCATTCCAAGAACTGATTTACTCGTATTTTATTCAGAAAATATGGGCAGTTCTGGTGTCCTAGTGCTCTAGTGCTCGCTGCTTTTAAGAGAACCCACAGTGGTAATTGGATCTAGTCTACAAAGTAATTAACCTTACTGATTTTGTAGTACATCTCGAACAATGATGCTGAGAAAAGTCTGTTTAGATTAAAATATATTTATACCCGTTACTCGTAGAGTAAAAGGGTATACTAGATTCGTCGGAAAGTATGTAACAGGCAGAAGGAAGCGTTTCCGACCCCATAAAGTATATATATTCTTGATCAGGATCACTAGCCGAGTCGATCTAGCCATGTCCGTCTGTCTGTCTGTCCGTCTGTCCGTCTGTCCGGATGAACGCTGAGATCTCGGAAACTATGGGAGCTAAGCTATTGAGATTTGGCGTGCAGATTCCTGAGCTTCCTACGCAGCGCAAGTTTGTTTCAGTAGACTGCCACGCCCACTCTAACGCCCACAAACCGCCCAAAACTGTGGCTCCTACAGTTTTGATGCTAGATAGAAAATTTTAACTGAAATGTAATGTTCTCATCAATACCTATCGATTGACCTAAAAAAAAGTTTGCCACGCCCACTTTAACGCCCACAAACCGCAAAACCCTGTGACGCCCACAATTTTCATGCTAGATAAAAAATTTTAACTGAAATGTATTGGTCTCGTCAATACCTATCGATTGATCCAAAAAATTTGCCACGCCCACTCTAACGCCCATAACGCTTAAATCTGTATACCGCCGGTAGGTGGCGCATTTTAATATCGCTTTGCTGCTTGCATATCTCCATTTAGCTGAGTAACGGGTATCTGATAGTCGAGGTACTCGACTATAGCGTTCTCCCTTGTTTTTAATACATTTTATAATCCAGAAGTGAAAAATGTTCTTTTTATCTCCCATTTTCTTAAAGTATTTATGCTTAAATAACCAATATTAAGAAGTCCTTATATATTCAAATCTATTAAAGCTTAATCCGATTCATGGTTTATAAACGCATTCAAATTATTATTCTAGAAAAATGTTGTAGTTCGTTACATTATGAACTTTAAATGTTATTTAAAGCCACTGTCATCCTTGTCTTTACATTTTTAAGGGGATATAAAGGGTAAGCCTTTAACATATGGGTGGTCCAAGCTCATTAAAAACGTATTAACTACAGATACATTTGCACATAAGTGTATGTATATAGAAATCGAAAAGTGCCACTTTCTGGCAGGTATCGCGTAGATCCATGAGCATCATGGATAGGCATCCATCCGTGGTTGAGTAACGAAAACGTGTCAGCGGTAGAGCGGCGAAGACAAGGAGAGTCGGTCGAACGCATACCGAAATATGGCCAGTGCTAATTGCCCTCCAAGTAGCTACTGCTCCATCCCCAAAGTCCAAGATCCGTCTGCATCCCATGAAGCACGCCAGTTCTTTCCGTCTGAGTGCTCCGCAATCTCGGATCGCAATTTATAAAAGCTCTGCCCGCCCAGCGATTTCGCTGCAGTAGCATCCCCAAATTGCCGGCGAGTGGACGTGGATATTAGCTATTAAAGACCCTCTCAAGTGATCACATTGGATAGCCGCATCCAACAGTAAGGACCTCACCATGAAGCGTCTCGAGTGGCTGCTGCTCCTGGCGTATGTAGCCTCCGTGTCAACGGCAGTGGCTCCAAGGAGGAGGCGTCACAGCACGGTGGAATCGCCCTCCTCGAGCCTCGGCGATTGGGGATCGGCCTGGGGCCTGGGTCCCGAGATGGCACTCGTGAGGAGGGTTTACGATGACTGCCAGGACAAGAACGACTTCATCGGCTGCCTCAAGCAGAAAGCCCTCCATGCCCTTAGTCGAGCCCTGGACCAGGACTCCATCAAGATCGTGGATGGTCTGGTGCTGGAAAAGCAGAACCAGAGCGAAACCGAGAGCATCTTGGGCTCCCTGACGGATGCCCGCCAGTTTGGCAACCTGGCACCCATCGATCGAGCCCTTCTTTCCAAGGCGGACAAGCTTATGCGGACGCACACGGTCAAGATTGACATGGACGGAGGCGGTGGCGGCGTAGAGGATAGTGTGGGCCGAGGCCACGAGCACGGACACAAGAAGAAGAAGCACAAGGAGGGGGGCCACATCAAGTACGTGGTGGCCGCCCTCCTCACCGCCATGGGAATCGCTGGTCCTCTGGGTCTAAAGGCTCTGGCCGCGATCGCCGGCAAGGCCCTCGTCATCAGCAAGGTGGCCCTGACTATTGCCGGGATTATTGCGCTGAAGAAACTCTTCTCGCACGACCACAGCGAGGAGACTAGCTTCCAGGTGCATGCCGGCGAACACAACAGGTGAGTCTTCCGTCTGACTAAAAGAGTGAACAAGGACATATGATGATATAAAAACTATATATTACAAAGAAAAACGATGGGAAATAAGATTGATATTTTCATAGACAGTGAATTTTATAATACTCTAAAGAATACCCTTTACAAGTAAATTAATCTTACTACTGAAGGATCCTCAAGAAGTTCTTTATTACTAAAATTTGTTCTCATCCAATAAGCTTTGTAAAAACTTTTACAAAAGAACTACTTATAAAGAGGCACTGCCTAAAATCGCTTACTTACACTCATATATCATTGAAGAATTCAACAAATCCATTTTATAGATAATAGGACTAGAACAAAAATTGGTATATCTTTTAAGAACTGCTTTTAAATTAATCTTAACAAAATACACAGGTCGCCGTTTGTTATTTATAAGAATTTTAAGAGACATCCGCTGAATCATTTTGATTAATTGTATCGCTTCCACTTGCAGGCGCAACACATACGTGATCCGGCCGGTGTCCAAGACGAGCGGTGGAGTAGCAGCTGGTGGAGTGGGCGTGACTGCTGCCGGTGGCAGCTCATCGGTGGACCCGTATCGCTACTACTACGACTACCACCAGCAGTAACGCGTAACACAGTGTTGAGTTGGTGTCTGGAGAAATCTTCGCCGTTGTCCGGCGGAGTCCTGAAGCAGCTAGACTACCAAAGAACCGATCCAAAACCAGTCGGGCCAAATGGAGCCCGGCAGAAGCCGTTCACCTTAATGTAGCTCCTAAGTTGTAGGCTAATCTATTATGCAGTTGCCCGAACCCAGAGAATAAAACCCAAATAATAAATGATATTGAAATGTACTCTAGGAGTTAATATGAAAGAAAGTTCCTCTTTATTCAGCTTTGGGGTAAACAATATGGGGGCTTCGGAATGTGATTTAATCAGAATCATCCGATATAACATAGCTGGCAGTATTTCGAACGTTGCTTAGAAGCGTTTGCTGTCGACCCGAAGAACGCTGTTCAAGATTCGAGGACGTGGTTTTATTCAATAATGGAATTAATTTTAAATCGTGGAAATACATACCGTGTTATTAACGGTCACTTCCAGTTGGGCCTTGCCACGTGGAGCGGCTGCAGCAGCGGTTCGACCTCGAGCTGTTCCACGACCCCGTCCTCGCCCACGTCCCGTCGCAGTTACTGTGGATGTGCTTGCCTCGCTACCCAAGACGGTTGTGGACTTATCTTCACGCTTCACCTTCAGACCCTGAGTATCGAGCATTTTCAGCAGATCCTCGTGTTTGTGGCGTACCCTAAATGTCGTCAGCTCGTCGTCGACGTTCTCATCGTTGGGCATGGACTCCATTAGATGATCCACTGCCTTTTCCTTGTAGAACCTGAAAGAAATTGGTTTAGATAGAGACACTTCCTATTCCATGACCACTTACTTGACAATATTTTCAGCAGCATCAGCATCCCTTCGCTCCACCAGACGATAGGTCAACTCTGCTAGCGCCTTGGAGTGGAACAACCTCAGAGGTTTATTGGACTTGGCCTCTTCGAAGTAACGATCCACCAGCTCCTCCACTCGAGTGGCATTATCCGCCTCCTGCATCACAAGTTGTAAAAAAACAAACGTATTTATTCATTAGTAAGGTAAGGATTATGAGAATTTAAAATTGCTATGACAACTTAATTACATCACCACATATCAGAACAAGACAAGCACTATGCTATCAATGTAAAAGTTAAGGAAAAGCATATGTTTCCCATCCTTACCAGTGCGCGTCGCAAGGCCTCTTTGTCCAGATTGACGGTCTCCGTTTTGGTACGTTTGATCAGCTTGCTGAACTGCACCACATCCTGAACATTGGCAACCCGCGTGCTGAACATTTGGCCAAACCGAATCGCATTAAACATGCATGACTCGTCGGTGTAGAGAAGTCTCAGCCGGATGAGCGGAAGCGTAGGCTGCCTGGGATGACCGGTGTGCTGTGTCGCCGCCTTCTCAAGCATGACTTCCACTCGTTCCTTCGCGAATTTAAACACTTTGTTGGAGGCATCGCCCTCGTCCAGACCCAATTCCTCGGCACGGTCAGGCAATACGACGGATTCGTAGACGAAGGGACGCACGGTCTGCAGCGGAAGGGCCTTAAGCTTGAACTTCCCCTTGTAGATCTCCAGCAGGCCGACGTGCTTCTTCTTGGCCTCGCCCTCGGACAAGGAAGTGGGCACCGAAGAGCCCGGCTGGGAAACATAGAAACGCTTCTTGGCATTCTCCTCCGGCTCGATGCGGCAGTCGTGTTCGTGGCCCCAGATCACCAGGTGAAGGAACGGCGGAAGCAAGTCCTCGGGCAGGTAGTTCTTTGGGCCTCGTTCGGCGCGGTTTTGGTGCACCACCAACAAATGGAACCAGTCCTCTTCCTCCTTCGACTCATCGCCGGCTTCGCCTTGCGCAACCGTTTCGGGGCAGTTGAACTTGACCTTGAAGTCCTTGATGAGTCTGGCCAGCCGCCCATCGTGGATGTGGCTAAGTCCGTACAGAGCCAGCTGGCTCTCGCCCTTGCGTATCAGGACGGGGCTGATCTCCACCTGGCTGAGGTCCGTCCAGCGGCCAAAGTAATTGACCAGACCCGAGGTGCTCAGCAGATCCAGGGAGCTCAGGCGACCGAAGCCACTGGGATCGTCGTGATTGCCGTGAATGGAGAACACCGGAATGGCGATGTTCAGGTTGGGGTCCTCGTAGTTCACCGACTGGTTGACGGCATTATGAAAGCACTGCGCCTGGTCACTAAGGATCTCCAAAGAAACTGGCCGATCGCCAAAGGTGTAGCGCCGCAGGAGCTCTATGCATCTGGTGGAGATTAGGGAAGATAGAGATAAAACGGAATGCACCTCAGTCCCAACTTACTTGTGCATAGAGTTCTGGCTGGGCACCGCGTCGTGGAAGAGGTCGCCGCCCAGCAGAATCATGTCCACATCCTCGGACACCGCCAGTTCCAGGATCTCCTCAAAGGCTGTGAAACTGTCCTCGCCGCGGACTGCGTCCTTCTCGCCATAACCCAGATGGTTGTCGGTGGCCACCAGGATGCGGATCACGTTGTCCGCATCCTGCTCTGCTCCCGTGGTGTCCTCCATGCCCAGTAAGTTTCTTTGAAATCCCAAAAATAGATATTTTTGCGCCCAAATTTATTTCGCCAGAAGGTCAAGTGTGACCAAGTCAGACTGCTCATCAAATATTATGAATTTTAAAAAGCGCGGGATTTTTAAAAATTAAGATTAAGTTAAAATGCTGAAAATGACTTTAAATAGTTGAACAATTCCTAAGATATTTGCAAAGGTGTGTTTGATAACAAATAATACTTGTTTAGTTAAATTAGGTGGTGTTTTATTAAAAACAACTACTTAAGTTTGTCTTAATGAAACGCATTTATTTTCTGAGTGTTTTTATAAAATTATATTTATTTTCCTAAGCACCTATGTATATGTATTTTATAACTTTGTATAAATCTCTCCTGCTATCTTCAGGTCATTGTAAACATTCTTAATCTAAATTACCTATAAAAGATCATTGTATAGCCTGACAGCCAGGTAGCAACTTCACATTAATGCTTATTGATGAGAGCGAGCTTTTATCCGCCTTGTCGATCACAGCCCTTTGATCGCTTCAGTACAATTTGGTTATGTTTGGTTTTTGTTCAGTCCAGATATGGCATTATAACTTCGTGGATGACGTCCTTCCGCGTGTGCCAGGCAAGATGATGGACATGGGGTTTGATCACAATAATGAGTTTGCCAGCCTCCTGAAGAGTTTTGATGCCGATGGAGTCGGTAGTGAATAACTTTCGCTTGTTAAATGGGATCACATCCATATTTTCGTCGTAGTAACTAAAGTGACTGGAAGGGATATAAACGCGTTATTTTATTTTCTAATCAGATAGCTTCAGTATTACCTAGACTGCCAGGGAGTGATCACATCGTCGTTGGGCCCGCCGATCATCACCAACCTGTTGAGTCGCACCATGCCCATCTTGAAGGATGTGGAGTTGGAGGTCTTCTTCTCGTTGTTGATCAGCGGCAGGAACTCACTGTACTTCATGTAGAGCTCCTGTCGCTGCGGATCGTTCCAGTAGCCACCCACCGAGGTGTGCTGTCCCACTCGCGAGTAAAACAGTTCGAAGGCCGTCTTGGCTGCCAGATCCGGAAAAATCAGATGCAGGAAGCTGGCTGAAAGCAAATTCATAATTTTTAATTATCGGGTTTGATAATAATAAGTCGAAATATCATTTTGGAACCTATGCCAATGTATGTTTCATATTTTAAAGAAACATCGAAATATACAAAACTTAAATAAGATCGAACGGACTTTCATTATTTAAAAAGGCACATTTATGTTCTGGAAAAACTTAGTCAAATGTCTTACATATCCTAATAATCATAACTTTAAAAATCTGAAAAACAACTAACCCCACTTTGTAATTTTTGAAAAAGGTTATATAACTAAAATTAAAGAAGAAACACTATGATGATTTGTGTCTAAATATAATCGATATTTTCCGTCTGATAAGCGCATAAAATAAAATCGTTGGTTCTGGCATCAACCCAATTAAATTATATGTATCTTGGGTTTAAATGGTCTAGATTTACACAAGTTAGACAATCAACTCTAGATGGATTAATAAAATGGGATTTTCTAGGTTAAACTTACTTCCATATTGGCCCGCCTGTGGCGAAGATAGGGATATAAAGGTCTTCACATTGTGATCTGGCAGACTTTGGATGGCCGCCCGGGCCAAAAGGCCTCCTTGGGAGTATCCTGGAAATAGTATAACATCAAGAATCAGGAACGAAACACAAAATTAAGGCATTGACATACCCAGGACGATAATGCCCTCTGGATGAAGTTTGCCCACTTCGTTAAGGTAATCCCTAACTTGATCCACCTGCCGCCAGGCGTTCTCCAGACTGTACCATCCGCTAAATTTGTCGCAGTTGTAAACTATGGTCCCAGGATGAAACTATAAACGGAAGGCATAGGTTTATCAATCTTACTGCGTTGTTTGCGTCGAAATTGACCTTGCGACTATTGCTTTCTGGTAAACAATAACAAGGGGAATCCAATAACAAACCTCTTCGATTTCCCGGACCAGAGAAGACATCGATTCGGCGCCGGAGAGGATTCCGTGGAGGATGACCACTGGTTTAAAGGCCAGAGAGCCGGAAATCGGCGAACAAGTTGCGAAAAACGCCAGCAGGACTTGCCAATAAAGCCTCATTTTACGCTGAACAATGAAATTGGTTTGCAACTGTTGTTGTTGATGTATCCGTATCTTTATTAGCTGCTCTTCTTCTTGCTCCTGGCTTTGGAAATTCTGAATGTGCGGGTTTTTAATTTGACACGCGAATGGCAATCTATTGTCGACGCAATTATGAGCAGAGCGGTGTTTGAAAAGGAATTTGAAATTGTATACCTACATTTTTTAATGGTAAACCATTGTACAATAATCTATAATGAGCATAACTATGGCTTGCGAATATATTTATTAAAATATTTTTTAAATTTTGTAAATGTGGAAATTTAATAAAAAATTACAAAAATAGTAAAATTAATTTTCTTTTTCTTGAATATAATTAAAATAATAGTTGAGAATTAAATTTATAATTTTCAGTAATGGATTGTGTCGCCATAAAAACATCTAAAAATCCATAAATAAAATAACATTTCTTAATAATTAAAACTTTCAAAGATCTTTTAGTAAACCAAATAGTTTTTCCAACTAGATTTACTTCAATAAAATCCCCGAGATCAGTGGACCTTAAAATAATGCTCGTTTATTCACTCTCAACTTACACGATCGTCGTTTATGTACTTTGCACTATTGTGTCTTGCGTAAATTTAAGTCTAGGCGCAGCATACACGCTCCGCAATTAATATCTACGCTCTGTGGCTGGCTATTCACAGACTCCTCCTCCACTTCGCACAATCCATTTGTCTTTCGGGGCCGGGAACAAGGTGATTTCAAGGTATATCAAATATGACAACACTTAACATGTTAGGCTTAGGGCTAGGGCGGCATCTCAACCGTTTTGTTTAAGAGTTCTCGATCTAGATTTGTAGCGGTTCTGTTCCAAGTTATGTGATTCGTTATGTGGCTGGAGATCTAGTAGAAGAAATCCAGCCCGTTCCGAGGGCTCGTACCTCACCCGGCCACCTCCTCGCTGACAAAGTCCAGCTTGACCACCTCGGCGGGCAGGCACTCCTCCACGTCCACCTCGTTCTCCTGCACGTTGATGCGGTTGAGGGTCATGGACACGTCAGGTCCGCACTTCAGGCCCGCTGGCGCCCCTGCTGGGGAGCCCACTGTCGACGTCGTCGTCGCTGGAGGATTGGAGGTGCTCACCACGTCATCGGCAATTACCACTGTGGGCGAGAGTACTGTTGACACAGTGGACACCGCCGGCACAACTGGCACCACGATCTGCGTCGACGAGCAGGTGGACACCACATGAGGTTGCTGCACCACTGTCGCCGAGGTGGACGTGGGCTGCTGGATGATGATGTTCTCCGTGATGGTGGGCGTGTTGTTTGCCGCCGAGGCAGCAGCCTGGGCTGCCGCTAGCGCCGCCGCCTTCTGCATCTGCTGGTACTGCTTCACCGTCACCGTCGTGCCCGTCGTGGTGGTGGTCTGTGGATGCAGGATGATCTGCTTGGGCTGCGCCACCAGCTGCACGTGCTGAACGATGGGCTGCGATTTGAATACTTGAGGAGGTGTCTGCTGAAGGGTCTGCTGCGGCTGCTGGGGTTGCTGGGGCGGCAGAGTCTGGAGCACGTGTTGCACCTGCTGGACGGGCACTTGCTTGGCGGGAATGCCGGCGTCCTCGAAGGCCTTCTTCTTCAGCGCCTGGCGGATCTGGGAGCTGCAACGAGGGCAAAAGTATCTGGGATTAGCACGGACACACTGGGCAGCATGTTCCCTCGCCAGGATCGGAGGATCACTTACACGGTGCGGTTCTTGATGCTCAGGCTGATCTTGGTCAGGTCGTCGGAGAAGCGCATGATGGACGAGTGCAGCATGTCGATCTCCTCGTCCGTCCACTTCCTGCAGCCGTGGCGAGGGAACAAGGGACACAGAAACACTCCGATTAGTGTCCACCGGATCTCGGAACTCTGGACGGGATTAACTTACCCGGATGGCGACTCCGCGTTGGGATGCAGCTGCATGGTCAGGTCGCCCAGTCTGCTAAACGCCTGTCCGGCGGCCGTGAAAATCTCCCCCACCTGAAAGTGCATCCGACCCGGATTTGCATCCGGAGTCAGTTTGTTGTTACCGCGTGCAAATTCAAAACAAACGCACCGTCCCCCGCCCACCGACCGCCGGCCCAGAGAAGGTGGAACAACAAATTTCCCACTCGCAGGAGTGAGACAAACGAACGACTCTCGACTCTCTCCCGCGCCGCCTTTTTTTTGTTGTGACGCGCTTGGGCGCTGGAGGCGGGATTCCGGGCGCGTGGTCGCCGGCGGACGTGGCGGAGCACCTGCACCTACCTTGGTTGCCGAGTTCATGGCCTTTTTTTCGCGGGGCGCTGCTTTTAGTCGTAATTTTCTGTTTTGCAAATCGTAAGCGTCCGCAGCCCTTTCCAACACTCAAGCGACCCCTCGATAAGCGTCGAGCGCTATTCAACATTGGTAAAATGAATTGCGCACATCGACCTATCGATTGACAGTTTCAATTCAAACTAAAACCGTTAAACGCTGAATATCAAAATCGAATGAGTCTTTGAAACCAAAAAATATCATACCGCTATGACTTTCAGTTGTCAATATTAAAAAAAATGCATGGAAAATTTAGATCCTTATTTTTTGATTATAATTTTTTTAAATTCGATTCTGTACTTAAAGCCGGGAACAAAGAAAATAAACAGAAAATTGAAAAGATTTATTTAATAAACAAAATAACTTATTAAACTTAGTATTTAGAATACCTTATTTATCGAAGACCAAACTTTTGGTCTTTAAAATAATTAAATGTTTTTCAAATTTAAATAATAATCTCGTGCAAACGTTATTTCAAGGAACCAACCTTGTTTAATTTTAAATTTTTTGATCAATTTTGTTTGAAAAACTCTTTTATATCGACTAATGAATACGGCAAACCTTAAATGTTAAACTTCAACTTTGCAAGATAACACTTAACAAAATAACTTAATACTTGAATAACATCTAACATGACTTATTTGGCTGCCTCCTAAAGGCCATCGGTTTTTGCACCATCCTTTATGTGTACTCCTATTTTTCTCGCAGAGTGGCGATTTCGGTTTCTTTATTCGCATTGTGTATGGAAACATGAAGTGCTGACCGTAATTAATTACAGAAGGTTAACAAAAAAAAAGGAATCAATACTGACACCTTAAGTGCATTGTTTTCTCAGAAAACTTATTTTAACTATCTCCGTAAACTCCGTTACGTCGCGAAATATGTTACGAGCATCTTTTCATTCAATAATTATCCTACTTAGGATGGTTTCCACCCCGGATTCAGTCTGTGTTTTAAGCTCAGCTCGGAACAATGGCAATTACTATCTGTAATGGAAAAAATGAATAGATGTTCGTACATCCCACAGGAACAATACTGCACATACCCACGGAATCCGTCATAGTTCCGCAATCCCGAAAGTCGTTCCAGCATGACTGCTTTCGGTGCTCATCGTAGGCCGTGATGCGTCGATTCTTCCTCACCTCAAAGCTGATCGATTTCTTGGGAATGAAAAATAAATTTAAAGAGTTACTTGGAATTCACCAAATCAATTGTACCCTTGACACACTGGCAACACCAATGCGGTCCACGGTTTTCTTAGCAGAGGAGGCCGATGCAGATGTTGGCGACAGAATCGAAGAACTCGGTTTGAGGGACACGTTGCCTCCGTTCACATTAGCCGCTTGAAAAGCCGCCAGTTCAAGCTCAAGCTTAGTCATAACCTCGGTGACCGTGCACAACTTTTCCTCAAGGTTGCGCTTGTCTTCCATTAGAATGGAGATGGTACCGTCCATGCGTTCCTTTTCCGCTCGGAAATTGGTTTCCCTGGATTTCTAAAAAAAAAGGTGAGAGTCTGCAAGCTATCAGAGTGACTTTATATTACCACAGTTGATCGTAACGTCTCGCACTCCTTTGCGAGCCTTTCAACCGTTTCAAGGCTTTGTTTATTAGCCGCTTCGGCGGCTAACTTATTCTTGGTTGAGTCTTCATGCAGAGATGCAAAAGCTGCCTCTTTGGACGCGAACTGGGCTATAAGACGAGCATGGTCATTATCCTTCTCTTCAAGGATAGACAGCTTTTCCGCCAGTTCTTGTTTGCTCTTTAGCATTTCGGATTCGTTGGATTTCTAAATAAAAATGTTTAATGAACGAAACTAGCTGTATTACTCAAATATTACCAGTGTTGTTCGTAGCCTTTCACATTCTTTTGTGAGCTCCTCGTTAAGCTTACAAAACTTGTCCTCCACGATGCGCTTGTCTTTCTTTAGATTTGAAATGGTGCCATCCAACAGTTCCTTTTCCATCCAGAAAGCCCTCTCTTTGGATTGCTAAAAGAAGAGAAATATATATATATATATGAATGACATTTAAAATACCAAGTTTCTTTAATATTACTAGCCCGATTCGTAGCTTCTCGCATTCCCGTGTGAGTTCATGAACCTTAAGCCCCATTTGACGGCTTTTGTTTTTGGCTGCCTGTATGACCTTTTGGTTCTCGGCCGTGGCTTTTTGCAGAGATGCAAATGCTGCCCCCTGCTCTCTAAAAACGGCTAGCCTTTTTTTCAACTGTTGATTATTATTTTGCAAATCCGATATAATCAATTCCAAGTTCTTCTTATCATTCTGGAAATGATTCGTTTTGGTTTCCCGAAAAACGTTTTCTTAGAACTAAATAGGAATATGGAAATTTAACTTACCAGATCGGAGCGAAGTTTTTCGCACTCTCTGGTTAGTTCTTCTACTTTGTTGCGGGCCACGCCCACTTCCAGTTTCAGCTCCTTCGTTTTGTGATCCATTTCTGCTTCCTTGGCTCGTATCTGATCGGCGAGATCAGTTTTGACTTCTTCCAGTTTTGCGAAATCTTCTTTTAGAGAAGCACACAACTTCTGCTCCTTTTCCAGCATGTTCTGCAGATCATCAGCATTTTTCAACTTAACTTTAAGTTCCTCATTACCAGTCTCTAGTTTATTTTTCATTTCTTGTAGCGATGTGAGCTTAAGCTCCAGCTCGGTCATGGAACCCTTAAGATCTTTTACTTCGCTTTTGAAACTGCCTTCTTGGATTGACATCTTTTCCTCGACTTCCTTCAGCTGCATTGACAGTTCTACTCGCTCCATGGTAGCAATTGTCTTTGCATCCATGGCGTCAAATAGGTCAGAGCGAAGCTGTTTAATTTCTGCATCTCGACTAGAGATATCGTTCTGTGAGTTAAGCAGTTCCGAGTGCAGACGCTCCACCTTTTCTCGCAGTGTGTCCGATAATTCGTTTGCCTCGGAAAGACAGATTGTCAATCGTTCGTGCTGGGAAACTAGACCCTCGTGGGTAAGGATCTTGAGCTTAGCACAATGCAGTGCTTCCTCAAGATCAGTTATCTTGGCATTGAAAGTTTCGACTTTGCTCTCTAAATCAGACTTCTCCAACTCCTTCTGCTTGCTCAGAACATTCATTTCCGCTTCAAGTTGCTGAAGTTTTTGGAAGGTGCTCGTGTGCTGTGCACTGGCATCCTGAATCTCCGATTGCAAGGTGAACTTCTCCTGCCTCAGCTTATCCAAGTCCAGAGCCTGCTGCTCACACTTTTCCTGGAGCTCATTGATCTTGTCGTCGGTTTGGGTCTCCAAGCCGTTTTGGTCACGACTGCGCAATTGCATCTCCTGATCGTACAGCACCTCTAGTTGGCGCTTTTCTGTTAAAACTTCTTCCAATGCCAAGTCCTGGTCGGATTTCCTTTTTTTCATCTCAGCAATTGTACTTCTCATTGCGCTATTATGAACTTCCAACTCCTCCAGAGATTTGTTCATCTCCTGAAGCCTCGCCTCTGCCTTCTCTCGCTCCTCCTCTGCTTGGCTTAGTTGCTCCTTCAAAGTGGCTTTTACATCGCTTATTTCCGCCTTGTAAGCATCTTCGATTTTGGCCTTCTTTGCTTCGGCGCCAGCCAAAGTCTCCTTAAGAATTTCTCGGATATTTTCTAACTCTGCTTGGTGTTTGGCATTTAATGTATTCCTTTCCTCCTCGGCCTGACTAATCTTTTCCTGGAGACTAAATTTAATCCCTTCCAACTCCGCCTGAAAGCGAGCAGTAACACTGGAGAGCTCTTCCCCGGCCTTCATTAGTTGTTCTTTCAATAAGGCCACACTGCTCTCATATCGATCTTTGCTTTCCTCCATCTCCAGGCTATAAGAGCGAAATTTGGCGCGGTTCTCGACCTCGCTCGACTCAATCTTCGTCATGTATTCCAGCTTAAGGTCGTTGATCTCATTCGTCTTACTCTTCTCCAGGATACGCAGCTCTTCTTGAGCTTTCTTTAGCGATTCTTCGAGTTCCTCGATTTGTTGTTTGTATTCGGAGGAAGCAATAGTCTGCTCCTGCTTATTCTTCTCCAGTTGTAGAGATTCTTCCGCTTTGACACTGCGGTCTTCGAGTTTCGCGTTCTTTTCCTGAAGCTGGTCTATGAGACAAGCGTCATCGGACAGTTTCTGCCCTTGGCGGTCCAGTAGTTCTTGCTTTTGCCGGGAATCGTCTTCCAACTCCGTCAGCCTCTGTCCCATTGATAAACAGCGTTCGCCCATTTCCTCAACATGCGAGTGCAGTTTGGCGATGTTCTTGTCCTTCAGCTGCATCTGCTTTAACTGGCTTTCCAGTTCGGCCTGCAGATCACATACCTTGGTTTTTAACTCAGCAAGAACTGCCTTAAGAGTAGCCACTTCCTTCGATACCTGTTCTTCCTCAACGGAAGATGCACGACATTTTGGAATGGTATCCTCATCAGCCGGAATTCCAAGAAGACTATGGGTCATCGGGCTCTGTTTGGTAACCTCATCTTGCAACTGTCTGTACGAATTTGTCATTTCCGCATTTTGTATTTGCAAGGCATCTATTTGCCGCTGATAATCTTCAACCTTGTTCAATATCACGTTTTTCTCCAGAAGGTCAGACTTTAGGGTGGTCACCTGCTCGCGCATCTCGTGTATAATTGCCTCTTCGTCCTTAATTAACGCCTTTTGTTTTTCGACTTCCAGCTCCAATTGGGAAATTATATTACGAAGTCGATCCTCCTCTCGCATACAGACCTCCTCCTGACTCATTCTCACAATCCTAAATCTTTGACGCTTCAGAAAGCCTTTTAGGCAAACAGATTCGGATGTATCCTGCTGACTAGTATCACCCTCTAAGTACTTTGCAGACTCGAGGCAAAGCTTGAAGCGTGGCACACTCTCGTCCTGTTCCAGTTTGTTCACTATGAAGAGGCAGGTGAAGCCGGAATGGTGCTGGAGCTCAATCTGTTGAATAGACTCTGACAGCTTGACAAACTGCTCCATGAGGTCACTGTCTGGGTCTGGGTTTTTGTCCGGCTCGCTGTACTCGGTGCCCACTCCGGAACTCTTCATAGACTCCAAATCATAGCTGCTTTGGCGCTGCTTAAGCTCCT